CACAGAAATAAAAACATTTTCCTTTTGCTAGGGAAAAATTCCCTTCCTTTTTTTTTTTTTTTTTTTTTTTTTTTTCATTAGTTCACATGTTGGACTAGACACCTTTTTTTTTCTTTATTTTTTTAAAAAAAAAAAGCCTAGCAGCAGTTTTGCTTCTGATTGTGTTTTTAATTTCGCCATATGTATTTTTTCAGCTCTTGAATCAGACAGAGGCTCTGAGCCTTCAGGTGCAGCAGCTCTCTCTGGACTGTAAGATGCAGCAGCAGAAGAGCATCGTGGTCCAGAGCCAGATGAAGGAACTTCAGGCAGAGAGGGACCAGGTGGGTACAGTATCTGTTCCCCTCAATCACTACTTAATATCACTGCCGTTTTGTCAAGTTGTGTGCTTCTGTTTCATATTTTGCCTTCAATGTTCAGCTGGAACTGATCCGCCATAATGTTGGTTTTTCTTATTATTCCTCATATGAAATGTGTATGTGTTAATTTGCATGAAAACCATGCTTTGTTGCACATGTTGTTCCCATGAGGTCTCCTGGCTGATATTTATAACACGAGCGCTGTACTAAGAAAACTGCTGACGTATAATCTGCCCCACCTTAGAAAATACCAAGTGTATCAGCCTTATGTAGCTGTTTTTGTTGTCTGTGACAGTGCCTGAGTGTAATAAACTGTGTAATAAACATTCTTTCTTTACTACGTCTTCTAGTTGAATTAAACGTTGCTTTTGAATCCTGGGTTCAAAAAGCCTGTTATCCCCTAACAAACTCTCCCCATTTAATACTTCACTTATTTTTTAATTAAATCTTTAATATATCAGTTAAGAATAATGAGCCTATGCTGTATTTGTACTATGGAATGTGTCATTAAACATGCTGAAAATGTTCTAATATCAGATCCCATCTTTAAAAGCTTAAAAACAAAAGTTAAAACTTATTCGTACCTTACAATTTTTAGATGAATCATTATTTTTCTATTCCACATTTTTGTCATTTATTGGTAGTTATTAAAAAAGGAAATGTGACACCGCTTTAACACCAATCTGCATTTCTTTTTTCTCAACAGAAACCATCATCAACAATGTTACGTATTAATTTGAACAGTCCCTGACTTCTAATATGCATTCCAGGTTTAGTCGGTCCGTAGCCGCTTTTCCGTGGTGGTCGTTCTAGATGAGTCAGGAATCTGGCCTGACTTAATTAGGAGCTGTAAGGATGCTATTTAGTTTTAACTGAGCACCTTTTGATTAAGTTGAAATCTTCCCCTGTGTGTACAGGCCTACCAGTCCAGAGATGATGCCCAGGCCATGATCGCCCGCATCCTGGCTGAGAAGGACACACTGAGGAGTCAGCTGGTGGAGCTGCAGGAGGCCGTCTTCATGCTTCAGGCAAAGCGCAGCCCCAGACCCCGCCTGCGGAAATCCAGTGTATGTTTGTAACACACAAATGACCGCATTCACACAAAAGTGCAACAGGTGCAGAAGTAACTTTGCTGGTGCATTCGGGTTGAAGGTGAAGGAGATCAGCTGGGAGAGCCCAACTTCCAGCTCTGAAGAATGTCCTCTTCTGGTCCGACAGAGACTACGGCGCATGGACGCACTTAACCCCATGTCCCTGAGTTCCTGCACCTCAGAGGTGTGTAACATGTCGCTGTGAGAGATGAGTTTCTATTTAAGAAGATTTTAGTGTTAAGTAATGCTTTAGTAGTCTACACTGCTTTTCAAAACGCTGTACCCCTTAAACTTGATCAGAGTTGTTGCGTCCTTATGTGATGGCTTGCAATTGTGAAGTAGGAAAGCTTAAAATAACTAGTCCACATGACAATGCAACATTCCAACAGAACCTGAGAAACTTTGAATGAAACCCGTGCTTTTTATTTACTGTATTCTTGTTCTCTTTGTCCTTAGTCAGAAGATGCTGTCCCCTCCAGCATCCGATCCAAAGGCGTCGAACCACCCAGTCCGGCGTCTCTCCGTAGAAGACAAGAAGTTTTTTTTGAAGAGAGCAGGTGTGTGTGTGTGCGTATGTGTGTGCGTGTGTGTACGCACGCGTTTGTTTGTAATACCTTGTGGGGACAATTTTCCTGACATATACTACGTTGTGGGGACCTATCGCTCCTCGTGGGGACCGCAGCCTGGTCCCCACGAGGGGAAACCCTGTTTTTGGGTCAGGGGTCAGATTTAGGGCTAAGGTATGAATTGAGTTTTGGTTAGGGTTAGGTGTGTGTGTGTGTGTGTGTGTGTGTGTGTGCGTGCGTGCGTGTGTGCTATTGTATATGTACACGTAGAGTGAATTTGTTCTAGTCTATAAGGTCTTTGGTGATGCTGGGAGTGGGTGTCACCTTACATACCAGGAAAAAGGAACATTCAAATTCTGTCCTCTGCATTTTTTTCTGCTGTTGTAAGGTGACTTTCAGGTGAATTATTAATTCACAGAAATGTGAGGTTCATGTCATGCATCCGTGGAGGCAGGCGACAGGTGTTGAGCTGTCTGTGTGTACTCTTAACCCCGTTTCTTTTTATTACTTTTGTTCCTGCAGCCTAAAGGAATGTTCCATGTTAAGAGTTGTTAGAAGTTTGAGCTTTGTCACCCGAAGACTATAATTATTTGCTCCCCAGGAAACCAGTTAGTGCAGTTGCATGATTTAATCTCAGCTATTTGTGGAAAGCCTCCTCGCTGTTCGGGACGTCTGTGTCTAAACATATTTCCAAACTTCATTCTAGTTTGTTCTTTCTCCTCACCTAGTTTGGAAACAGAAGACACCGACTCTGTGCTGGACGACTTTGTGTTACTTTCTGATGGTACGTAGAGGCAATGCTGTCCTACAGTGAGCTGTCCTCAGTGTCTGGTCTTTTGCTGTTCAGTTGAAATACCTTTATTACTTATTGTTTTAATCTGAACCTTTGTCAGCACTGAAAGGTGATACATTAACTCTGGCATATTATTGTCGGGGAAAGCAGCCCTGGTGCCAGATCATCTCACAGCCTCTCTTTTGTTCAGCAGGGAGTGAAGACGAGCAGAAACCCAGACCTTCCTCCTCTCGTGGCTCCAACTCTGTCTGGTGAGGACGAAAAAGGACCTGGGATTTTTTTAAAGTGCAGCCTAAATATGTAAATAGTGTCACTTGAAGAAGAATGCCTGTGATAAATGGGATAAACTGTAAACAATATCTTGTCAATTAAAATAAAAAAAACAGGCCTGTAAACCTCTATGAACAGATTTAATGAACCGATACAGTCTTAATCAACTATCTGAATTAGTGCAATTCATTCTGAGAACTGGATGCATTTTTAAAATAACTGGTGGCGAATCTCCTACTTCCTCATTTCTCTGCCATGTCTTAGCTAATCAGGGTGCCTTAAGTCGTCTTGAAATGTATTTTAAACGTATCGTTTCAAAGATTTCTCAATAATTGGAGTGAAATGCTAGAAATCAACTCCAATTTTCTCTCTTCTCCTCAGCGTCTCAAAATCTTCAGCCCCTCCCTTCCTGGTGCGTTCTCGTCCAAAGGCCATCCGCGTCAACGGCCGTGTCCTCAGCCTCTCCCTCCAGTGCGAGGCACTGCTAAGCCAGCTCTCGGTCGTGGGAGGAAACAAGTCTGGAGTGTTTGTGCACCAGGTGACTGAGGGCAGCGCCGCCCATGCTGTCGGCATCAGCCCCGGGGCGCAGATTGTGGAGGTGAGTGTACTGAGAAAGAAGGTGAGGTTTTCCTGTAATGAATAATGCAATTCTTATCCAGCTGTTGTTCTGCAGGTCAGGTATGAGCAAAACAGCAGGGCTCTGAGGATGGTGCTGGAGGACTCCACTCTGGAAGAAGCTACGTGGGCTCTGGGCCAGGTTACGGGCTTCTGTCAGCTGTCCCTCCGCCCCAGGCAAAACGGTAAACTTTACAGCGCTAAAAAAACTAAAGGACAGAGAGCAGAGTCAGTGCTGCTACTGTACATTTTGTGTTTTCTTTTTCTAAGTCAGTAGGCAATAATGGTTCCAGCTGATGTGAAGTAATCAGGAAGCAGATTTTTTTTTTTTGCGATTGTAAAATTAGATAACAGTTCATTTGTTATCTTGTCGCATGGGGAGATGATATCAAAATGTTACCTCTATTTAAATAATTTCCTCATCCGCTAAAGGATTCTGACTCATATCAGAGTGGAGTAATTAAATCATGGAGTTACAAACAAATAGTCCAGCTAATAGTATTCTATCACCAATCTGTTTGTTGAAAATTCAAGCTTTCAGACATTTGCAACACTTACCCTAATCAGCAAAAAAAAAAAGTGCATTGGATTTCCAGACAGCTATTCAGTTCATCCACAGTCCTTTTAGTGCTCAATTTTCAATTAATTTACAATTATGATCAACCATATTGTACATCACAGATTCATTCTTGACTAGCAGGCTTGTTTCAGCTCATAAGGAGTTGGTGCACTCAGTTGGTGCAAAGTCTACTGCTGGTGAACCCTATGGACGCCAGAGATGCGATTGTTTGCCAAAAGTGCTAATTCATCCTTCTGAAACAATTGATTCATGTTTTCAACTCACCTTCATGGCCAGGGGCATGTAAACTAGCTGGACTCCTCTCTTGGAGTATGCCAACTACATCTAAGAGAGCACGAAACAAATAACAAACATCCTCAGCATCGTGTGCAGAAGATGACTGGTGATGAAGGTGTTGCAGCACATTTACTGTCGCTGTCCTCCTGTGCAGACTATGAGGCACTGCTGCAGCAGCTGCAGAACAGCACGATGTCGTCGGGAGACTCCTTTTACATTCGGGTCAACTTATCCCTTCCCGCCGGTGCTAGCGGGACCTTGGCCGTGTCGTGCAACGACATCCTACATGTGACAAACACGAGACCTGCCGGCACCGAGGATCTGTGGCAAGCGAGCCAAGTTCACCCGTGCCAGCTGCTCGACCTGCACAGTGGAACAGTACCCAATTATTACAGGTTGGTGCTCTGCTGTGAGCCGGTAGCAGATCCTGGCAGGTCGAGATGACAACGGATTTCCTTCTGTGTTTTCAGGGCCCAGAGACTTTTGATTCAAACAATTGAAGATATGAGCTTTCAGACAAAGAATTGCCTGAAGGTATTTTAAAAAAAAAAACATATTAAGCAATCTGACTAATAAAGCGTTCAGGGCTCTGAGTTAATTATGAAAAAACTGTCATCATCCCAGGCTGGACGAGAAAACACTTGGAGTGGACAGAAGGCAGTGAGGATTGTCAGCACGGGGCGCCAAGGAAGGAACCCTCTGTGGGTCAGTGTGGATGAAGAAAACACGAACGGCACCGAGTCAGGTACAGCGAGCTGCAGCAGCACCATCACAGATGTAGACTGTTACTGCTATTTTTGTGCTGCAGGGTTCACAGTTTTTAATGAACGTTGCACGTTTGCCTGTGTTTTTCCACCTCTGAAGGTTCTCCGGTGCCACCCAAAAGCTGTGTAACCCTCATGCCCTACACCCTTGTTACTCCTCACTTCCCGCCAGTCTGCAGGCCTATCCTGCTGCTGCCAACAATACTGGGACGCATGCTGGAGAAGAAGCTGGCCAGCTGGCAGGGCTTTCAACTCTGTGAGCCTGGTAAGAAACGCTGCATCGTTATCGCCTCGCATACCCATCTCTGTCGATGCAGTCGTAGGAAAACATGTTGTAACATGGTAATACTTTGACACATAAAAATGTTTGTCACTTGAATTTCTTCTTCTTCTTTTTTTTTTTTTTTACATCTTGTCATTTTATAATCTTAAACCTCAATGTATTTTATTGGGATTTTGTGTGATAAGGCAACTGGAAGGAAAATGATTTGCAATTTTTTGTTTCACAAAAATGTGAAAAGTGGAGAGTTCATTTCCACTCAGCCCTCCTGAATCAGTGCCTGGTTTGAAGTGACAAGTCTTTGGGAGAATTATTTTTGTCAGTTTTGCACATCTACAAATGTTTTGCTCACTCTTCCTAAAACAGCTCAAGATCAGTGCTGTCCTCCTGTGAACCCAAATCCAGAACAGCTGGATTTGTGCTAAATTAAATCACACGCTAGTCGACTGTGGCAACCACTTAGATGACTTCTGAAAGCATTTAGGGATATCAGAGTAAGGAGGGCTGAAACACACACCACAATTTTCAGATTTAAATTGATAAATTTCTAGAACCATGTATAAGTTTCTTCCCACTACACAATCATGCAACTCTTTGTTTCTTTATGTGTCTAATCATATTTAAGCTGTAGCGTGACAAAGAGTGAAGAAGCACACAGGGCACAAATCCATTTGCAACACACCTTATGTTCCGTAGACATAACACGTTTTATTGGTGAGATTACTGATGCTACTTCCGATTTTACACCGAAATGATGGTGTGTCTGACTAGCTGTGTAAACAATCTGGTCTCTTACTGGGAAGAGGTAAACATTTCATTGTGTTTATCCGTAGCTGTAATCCAGGAAGGAAATAAACGCTGTAGGTAAATATTTCTAAAAAAAAAAAAAAATCTGCAGTAGCTATAAATAGTAAGTGGGTGCCAATGTTCCCTGCAGTCAGTGGGGTAAATTAAATGTTTGTTGATCTTTGCCGGGAAAGTTTGATCAAAGAACAAGAACATTTAGCGGAAAACATGGGGAAATTAAATATTTAGTGCTCAGGTTTAACGGATGTAGTATTTTTGTGTGTGAGTCAATGTGATCTGTCGCTGTCCCTGCAGAGACGTTGACCTCCAGTGAACATGCTGCTCGGCTCCAGAGGTCTGAGGTTCTGGAGGAGGTGGAGCCTGGTGGAAACCAGTGCTACACTCTTCAAAGTGTTGAGAAAGTCATGAAAAAGGTCAGAACACACTCATTTTTAGCACGTGTATTTAGACCCTCTGTATGTAAATCTGTGAACAAAATCTTTTTTTAAATCACACATTTATGTTTTACTTTGTTTTATTCCTCTTAGACTCAGCTAAGGTATGCCTATGTATGCAAATCTCCAAATTGCAAATTGTTGTGGTTTCAATTTGAGACTAAAACTACCAGACAAACCAAGACAAGCAGACAGTCATTTTTAATTATAAGGAACTCATTTCAGAGTGACAATCTTTCTGATTTAACGGCATATTTTGCCATCCCCCTCCTTCTCTCAGGGCCTTCACTGTGTGCTGCCGTTAGGCCTGGACTGTGTGCGTCGGCTGCACCGCTCCGAGATCTATCCAGTTATCATCTTTATTGGCGTATCTGCACGCAACGCACGTAAACTGAAGTATGTTTGTTTTTTTTTTGTTTTGTTTTTGTTTTTTTTCATAGAAGCCACTGAGTTCTTAAGCACTGCATGTACAAGGGCTAGAAATGTTAAACCCCTTGAACTTTTCCAGAAACTACCTTATATGGATCCTATACCATGTCCACAGTGAGTCATAAGCTGTTTTCGCACTGCAAGGAACGGAACGGAACGGTTTCACCTGTACTGCAGCCCTGTTGTGTTTGCATATATACTGAGGGTGCCATCGAAGCGGTACCGGACGTCATTATTTTTTAAACTAAACAATGTAGTTCACAACCTTCACCAGTTTGGGGTTCGAGTTGGTTGTTTGCCAACTGCCAATATTATAAAGAAGAAGAACAGTTACTACTACGACGACATCAACTCAACAAAGAATGACATGGATTTAATTTTGCTGCTCATCAAAATAAAATACAGTTTAGTGAGAGCCAGCTGTCAATGGAAAATCAACGTCTGACTCCATCACAACCAGCGGCCAATCAGCTGCTGATTCTAAGCAGAACCGCTTGGCCGGTCCGATTGGAACCACAGCTCTTGTGGTTCCAAGGGGCCGGGTGGAACCGGTCGGAAGTTCTAATGCAAACACGGTCGGCCCTACTTTGAAACCGTTCCGTTCCGTTCCTTGCAGTGAGAAAACGGCTATAGGGTTGCTATCTTGAGGTACGAGGAAACCAGTCAGTGTTGATTGGAAGATGTATGAAGCCACATGCAGCATATCCTGGATGAAAACATATCAGAGACTGCAAAATATTTCATTCTTCTCTTCCAGCAGGACAAAGACCCCTACACTACCACACAGTATAATTGACATTTGAGTATTTATACAATAAACCGCCTGCATTTTCTTGAACAGTAACAGAACTACCATGTTTTAGCTCAAACGCTGCAGTAAGGACCTCCAGTGTAATGATTTTACATATCACCCGGTCTGAAGTCAATGCTCCTCTTTCATTTTCCGTTTTGCAGGTCAAAGCTGCAGCGTGGCGGCCAGACGGAGGAACAGCTGCTTGCATGTTCAAAGAGCGAGGAGCCGCTGTTGGACAAGCTGCCGTGCCTGTATCACAGCATGGCTCCGGACTCCTGGTGTGACCAGAACTCCCTGCTGACCAGCCTTCGCACCGTCATCTGGGAGGAGCAGAGGAAGGTGGTCTGGGTGGAGCCGGACCTGTGGTGAAGATAAGGGGAGGAAAATGGAGATAACATTATATATATGTATATAAGATGAATAAGCTTTACAAGATATATTTTTGTAAACTTGAGTATGTATCCATGATACTTGTGAGTGTATAAAGTCCTGCGGGAATGCCCTGTATAAACTGTATATTATCTTCCATTTTCGGTATTTGTTTATAACAAGCATTTGTAAAAACAAGAAATTGTATCTCCACGTTTGCTGTAGGTCAGTTCTTATTATGAGGGATTGCATCTGGCATAGATCTCTTTTAAATCACTACATCTAACCACTACTGTTTTTTAAATGTTGTCCAGAGGGCATTTTTATCTCACTGTGTTTTTTAATTCTCTTTTGTTAAATAAAAGGTTATTGTTGCACATTTAATAAGTATCACAGATGTCTCTGGAAGTTTACTTTCTGTAAATCGTCGACAGGTTGCTACATTGTCACCGACTCTGAAATAAGCCTGGAGCTGGTCACGTTGTTTGTGCCACTCAAAGCTAAACACTGAACTCAGAGAATGTGTTGAATCCACTTCCTCATAGCTTCTTTTCTCCCTTTCTCTTTCCTTTTTACGTCAGGAAATGTGATACTGTGTTTTTCACTCAGTTTGACGCAATCACTTTAAAAAAAAAAACAAAAAAAAAACTACTTCCTTTGTTCTCTCAGCAACCATGCCAAACTTGAGCATGATTTGTATTTTTGTCTCTCTTCCCTGCAGTCAGCCTCTTTGAAAGGTTATATTCATCTGTTTTTTCCTCCTTCTGTCTTTTCTTTGCCTGCCAGAGTTTCATTCACACTGAAAGTGTTTATAAAAATGGTATCGCTCTAAATTTCTCTGAAATTTCAAATTTAGGGAAAATGCCTCAAATTTTGCTGTATTTTTATTTAAATGTTGATTGCCAGATCTTTTAGGCTAATACAGTGGTTCTTAACCTTTTTTGAGGTACTGAACCCACCAGTTTCATAAGCGCATTCACTGAACCCAACTAGAGTCTATTTGGGTCACCCCAAGATCACTAAGTCCTCTTAAAAGGCAGAGTCTCTGATAAGAGTCCGTCAAAATATAGTCAGTGTTTTCTGTAAAGTTGAGCTGACTGTCCAGGAATGACCCAAATTTGCCACAGTTTCAACAGGTTGGCCATCGAGAGAAACTGGAATCACTTCAAGGTCTTGTTTAGATCATTTAATTAGCTCTACATTCTTAAGAGAATGAAAAACTAATAATAAATAACAAAGACTTTGTGGTATTCTGATTTAGTAATGTAATTATATTAGTTGTGTTACCACCCCCACGCCACTAGAGGCAGTACCAACCCCTAAAAGATGCGACTAAGGAGCAGATTTAGAAGCACACCGAAAGCTACAGAATTTGGTAAAAACAGTGAGCTTTGCTGAAGTAATTAAAGACACAAGTTCAAATCCATCCTGAGAGTGGATCTCCTTCAATCAGTGCTCCTCCGCAGCTCTGATTAGCTCAGCAATGTAACGTGATCCTCTGCAGCGAGTGATGGCAAAGCGGGGCGTCATCACGACTTTAAACAGTGTGTCTTTACCTCCGCGGCAGAGGCTCCGCCGAACCCCTGGGGTTCGATCGAACCCAGGTTAAGAACCACTGGGCTAATATGTAAGGTTTATTTAATTTTGTGAAGGATTAAGATTTTTACAGGTTCATGCCATCTTATGTATTTTCATACTGAATTCAGCCATTTAGCTTTAGCATAAAGTTTAGATATAAACGAGAGCTTTAATCCAGATTAACAAAGAGCAGCAAATTAACAGGAAGATTGTCTCTATTACCTAGCTGTTTCTTTTTTTTTATTATTAAAATAAATTATCTTGGAACCATTTCATAACATAGCAGCGTGATATGCTTGTAAACAAGTGAACTGAAATGAACACAGTTCTACAAAAACAAGATGAATATATATGTTGGTTATTTCAATTCTGTTATATCCAGTTCAGTTTATTTGCACTATTAATCACAACCAAATTATATCTTTGACATAACATTTAACATAATAAACATGTCCATGTCTAATTAAAGGATTATAGTCACAACAATCATTTTCACATTCAATTTAATAACAAAGACTTAAATCTGCTCTAATTAAAATGCAGTGTGTATGCCTACAGGGGTTTAATATAAAATAAACACTAAACACATTGTTTAACATAAGTGGAGTTTTATTTGAAGGTGATACAAAGTTGGAATCAGGAGGCCACTGTGATTGGAAATCATTGAAAATTCAAACTAACAAATGATAATGGTGAGGCCCATTCATATTGTAATGTTAGAAGTGATTTTAAAAAAGCACATAAAAGTAGCTGAAAGTAGCTTAATGCTGCTGTTTTTGTCATAATTCTCACACAAGTGCAGGAATCACAGATGAGATCTGGAAACTCCATAACTGGGTCAAATAGGTTCATGTGAACTAGAACAAACCCTGTGAGGCTACAAGTTCAGTAAGACCTGATTTTACAACTTAAGGATGAAGAATACAAAAAAAATAATTAAAAAATAGACCAATATAGCAAATATCTGACATCCACAGGTTGTTGGTGTTACAAAAATTAGAGATAGTGTCATAGTATTGTTGTCTCGATATAAAATCAACTAATTTAAAGAACAATAACCAAATGCGTTGTTTACACAACCTCCATGTTAGGTTGTGTATGTTACACAACCTAACACAACCTAACATGAAGAATGCAGAATAACGTGCTGCTCTGCTGTGGATTCTTTTAATTTTTGTTTTGGCATCTGTTACTAAAACTACCAGTCAGTAATTTTAATATGTTAAAATTTCCTTTACACGGAATATGCTACGTGTAAAGGAAGTTTTTCGTTAAACAGGTGAAATCTATATAGTTTATGATGGTTTAATCCAGCGCATGCGCATAAGAATTATAACGTCACTTGTCGCTACATAGCCACAAGAGGGCGCACACTATAAATATCGCTGATAATTTGCCGAAATTGGAACAAAAATAAGTGCTGTCGTCTTTAGCTCATTTTTATTTTGCATGCAGCGTTGCAGTTGAATGCTCGGAGTTGCGTGAAAGGACGTGGAACCAAACTAAGAGGTGGGTGAGTAGTTTTGTTTTAGCAGACAAAGTACAAACGTATGCACCAAAATATATTGTAGATATATCATAAAGTAGTTTTCAATTAGCCTATTGTCAATTTTCAAAAATAATAAATGGTTACTTCTGATAATGTAAACTGAAAGGTAGTGTAAAAACAATAAAACAGTGATAGTAGTCTGACTACCACAGCTAATACAGCTACATTTATTACAAAGTACAGGAAAAGTTTAGAATGGATTGCAGCTGCTTCACCACATGGGATGCACTGTAGCAGCAATATCTAGAAAACTCTTGTTTTTTTTTTTTGTTTTTTTTTTTGCAGCACTTTGCCTGAGATGTGCCCACATTCAACGTTTGTATGAATATCCTGTTACCTTATATATTTGCATGATGTATACAAACTTATTTATCCATGTGGAATAACAATAGTTGTGCTGATGGCGCTGCAGTAATTTAGAAAAATAACAGTTTGATGCAAAGGTTTGAGTTAAATAATTTAGTTTAATATTTGGTAATTAGAAACCCTACTTTTCTTTTATTCTTTTTATTTATTTATTTTTTAGATCCATCACCAAGATTTTGGCATAAATCTGAAAAGTTAGAGTTCATTTTAAATGGACTCTGGTTTTAAGCGTAGTCCATTTTTTTCCTAATAATGTTCAGGTCAGAACTGTTCCTGTCACTTATTCTTAATCTTAGTTTCCCATTCTCTAACCAGTTTTGATCGTGACATCACCGTTTTAACAACCTGCCTCTCACTTTTACGTCTGATGAAAGGAAACTAGTTTGCAGAAATCATGCCAGGAGGTTGCTCATGGCTATAAAATGCTTGTGGTTTTTCTCAAAGCTGCTAAAAAAAAGATGAAACAAATGTTACTGGGTGTGTAAGTATGTATAATTTTCAGCTGGCTTGAATGAGAAAACGGCCTCATAAATTCAAACCTAGATTGGTTTGAAGTTCTGTCACAGTCTCGCCACCTTAAAACTAGAGCTCTGAAATTAGAAGCACGTAATGGCTACAACATCAAAGCCATACTTGATGAGTGTATGTCAATGCCTGACACGAAAAAGTGAGAAAATGTTCTAATTATTTATGTTTTGGGCCAAACTGTGATATATATATATATATTTTTTAAGAGTGCCTTGATTGTCAGTGGCCACTAGAGGGCAGCAGAGAGAAGCAAATGTGGTTTGAAGGAAGCTGGAGTGGCGGTAATGACGAACAGGGGGAGGGAGAGAGAAGAGGGGCAGCTCTTTGGTTTCTGACCACATGCTCACAGCATCACTGTTTCACTGGCTGTTTCCCAGCTAATGTGTTTACAGCCTTCACCGAGAACCAGAGCACCCCCTGCTCTGCACCCGCACACGCTCTCACCTCCTCACCTCTGTTTTCTGTCTTTGATTAGCTGTTTATTGTTTACTGACTAGATTTAAGGCTTTTTAAGTCTTCAAAGGAATCAATTTCCCCGACTGGAAGGTATTTTTGGCTCCATCAGGGACTCAAGCCCTCCCTCTTGTTGCTGGGAAACCACTTCAGTGATCTGTGTGTTGTCAGGGTGCATTAAAAACAGCAAAGAGGCAAAGTTGGCTTGAGAAGATAGAAAAACAGATAGAAATATATCATGTTTTCTTTTAGTTTATATATATATATATATATATATATATATATATATATACTAAAGATGCAATGATCACCACACCTTGATTTCCCGTTTTAAGCCTCTTGCTCCACACAGATATTTTAGCGAGTAATGTAGGCTTGAATACAACATTTTATTCACGGTGATTGTACACATTAATGGAAGAGGGTGATACTGAATGAATTTATTAGATCTGCTGCTCTGAATTAAAATCACGTATGTGTGTTTTTATTTATCCATTTTTTGGCTCGTATTGTTCATTGACCAGGTGAATTTTGTGTTGCGGGCACCACAAGCCTTTGAGAAAAATGAAGCAAAAGCAAAGTAGTCAACTGTAGTTCTTTAGGTCTCGGGCATCCGTTTGTGTTGTGCACAGTAAAATCTTCATGTGTGAATTTATGTAATTTAGAAGGCAGGCAATGTGAAAGTTGATTCCAGATTCCTATCTGGAGTTAGGTTGAAGGAGTATTTTACTATATACTAAAGAATATAGACCGTTCTGAAAAACGTCTAAACTGAACTTATCTGTTTTACATCAAACATTTTCTACTCTAAAGTATAATGTCTTATGTATCCTTCGGCATGAAGACAACCTGAAATAAGGGTGATAATACCAATAAAATGTCTCAATTTTTTTTCTTTTCAGAAGGAATACAAAGATAATTCT